GACGTGTCTGAAGCCATGAAGCTGATGCATTCCAGGCAGTGCAAAGGCCCTGGGATGGAACTGTGCTCTGTCCCAGAAAGCCAAGATTACTTGGGGGCAGAGCCAGAGGGTGGGGTGGGTGCTGGGTGGCAAGTGAGCCTGAGGGATAAGAAGGGGCAGATAGCTCAAGTGCAGTGAAGTCTGCAGTGGTCTGGATCGTGGTATGACCTATTCTACAGATTTCAAAGAAAATCTCTGTGGAGACCGAACCACTAGACCTCCTGTGGGTCTTCAGGCAGGGCTTCCCTGAAGCAAAGACCTCTGGGGAGGCTCAGAGGCAGCAGAGCTCTAAGTTGGAAAAAGTGGAGGGCCAAGCTGCTACCTCTGAACACTGGGTGGTAAGCAGGCTGCTGAAGGGGCTGCAGCCTGGCTGCGGAAGGCAAGGCTCAGGTCAGGCAGGGTGGTGGACTCAGGGTGGTCCTTCAGAACTCCCCTCCTCTAGAAAGTCTCCTCTTTTACCTCCTGTGTCCCCATTTCTTCTGGGTACCATGGCCCCTGCAGGTCACTCTTTTCAGGCCAGCTACCATGCTGATACACCTGTCTTAAAGTCCCTCTTTTGGGCTGAGTTCCTGGCTGACAGGGAGTAGGTGGCTGGGAGCAGGTATTTATCAAAATAACCAGGGGCTGGGATTTAGCTCAGTGGTTCAGTGGCCTGCCTTGCAAGTGCAAGGACCTGAGTTCAATCCTCAGTACCAGAAAATAAAACAAAACAAAACAAAACAAACCAGAAGCTGAGGCCGGAAGAGCAGCCAAGTGTGGGCTTATACGGGGATTCCATGAGAGCCATTCCACTCCCTTAAGGGCTGGGGTGACACACTTCTTGTCCTCATGGAGCCTGGCACTCAGCACACTGTTACAGAGCCATATACCTTGGTGGTTCTACATTGCCCAGGCCCAAATCCAACACTGTGAGCTCCTCCAAGCCACTTCTCTTTGGCGCTGTGCACTGACCCCACAGTGCCTGGAACACTGGGGTGGGTGAAAAAGCTCCCCGAAGGAGTGCCCACCATTCCACAGACTGGATAGTTATTACTGTGGATGAAAAAATTTAGTCAGAAAGGTGATCTTACCTCAAGGTCAAGGGATGGTCAACACAGAGGCAGTCTGTTAATTCTGCTAGGCACAGGCTGTGCCCCTCATACTTACTGGATCAATCAATGACTGAATTGACAATCTAAAGCACCAACGGGTTATTCTCCTGATTCACTATTTCAATAAAGCAAACATCTATAAGCTGTGACCACTTCACACCCACCACGTTGGCTAATAAAAGAATATATGGCAAAAGCACTGTTGGACAATGGTGAAAATGTGGCCAAAAAACAAAAAAAGTGACCCAAGTAACTCAGCAATTCCACTGCTTGGTGTATATCCCCAGGGAAATTGAAAACCAAAACTTATGTTTGGATCAATATGATTCATAATAGCCAAGAAACGAACAGTCCAAATGACCATCAACTGATGGGCAAAATGTGATATATTCATATGGTGGAATATTAATAAAAAGGAATAAAAGCTGGGCATTGTGGCACACACCTGTAATCCCAGCACTCAGGAAGCTGAGGCAGGAGGACTGCCTCAAGTTCAAGGCCAACCTGGGCTACATAGTGAGCTCAAGGTCAGCCTGAACTACCTAACAACACTGTCTCAAAAACATTATAGTTCAATGAGAGAATCCAGCCATAAAAGGCTACACATATTGCATGATTCCATTTGTAGGCAAAGTTCCAATCTGGCAAGTCTAGAGACAAACATCAGTGGTTGCAGGGGCAGCAAGTGTGCAAGTGTAGGGTGGTGGGGAGGCACCTCAGAAGTGTCTGCTAATGGCATGTGTTTCTTTTTAAGGTGACAAAAATGTTCTATAGTTAGATCATGGTAATTGTTGCACAGCAGAATCGTACATTTCAACAGTCCCAATCTCAATAAACCTGTTAATCAAAAAAGAAACTTGTCTTCTTGAAGCTTCAGGTTACTTTCTAGGCTAAGAACAGAATTCTTTGTAATCAGCTTCTTCCCAACAGCCACTGGACCCCAAACCTCAGGCTGGGAATGGAGCTTGCTCACTCCAGGATTAAGCAGGAAGCCTGTCTTATCTTTGCCTCTAGCTAGCACATTCCAAAGTCCTGAGTTCATCCTCCTGTGGTTTCATTTTCCTGGGCTCACAGGTCTCTCTTCTCAGGAAAGGTCTGGAATGGGGTGGGTGGTGGGAGGGGCACCTCTACATCAAATGTCAGCCTTCCCAGGCAGGTGGGCTTTACCAAAGCTGCAGTGCCAGGAGTCAGCCTTAACATTCCATGGGCTCTAGGAAAATCCCACCCAACTTCTTCAGGAAAAGGAAACCTCAAAATCATTTGCTGGGAGCCTATGATGTGCTGAGCCTAGTACTAGTTTTTCTTTAGCCTTCAACAACTCTAAAGATAGCTACGATCACCTCCATGCTACAGGAGGAAACAACCTGTGACAGTGTTGCCTGTCCCAGCTGGCAAGTCTCTGTTCTTCCTAGTCCCCATGTACTCAACCAGTTTGCTTGTCTGTAATGGAGCACACATCACAGCTATTAGGCAGCAAATTCCAGTCCCTTTTCTTTATAGAACATGACTTTTGTTGGCCCAGGCAGAGGGAGATAGGTCGTGTGCTCTTTCCCCATTTCCAGTCCAACTACTATGGCCTGGCTTGATCACTCTTGGCTATCGGGACATGGACGTTACCACCTCAGCCCACGGAGTTGTTCTGCTCTCCTCTGGAGCTGAAGCTTTTCCAGAACTGGACTCCTATTCTGCTGGCATGGTGGAGACTTGTCTTGTCTGTTAAAAATCTCCCATGGTTGAAACAGGTAGACCTGGAGGGCTGGTGTTGAAAGGGCCCTGGAAAAGCAGATATGGATCCTGGATGCTCCCAGGTACTAGTGGCTCAATTTCAGACAGGTGCCCATTTCTTAGATGTAGAGTGGGAAGACAGGCTGAGGGCCACAAGGCAGTTTCTCAGGTATAAAACACTGAGGCAGGGAATATCCTTTTCCCTCGTGAGACCTAACCCTGGTGACTGCAGAGACTGGCATTGTGTCCTGGACTGGTTTCTCTGCCCTAACAGGTGGCAACAAAATCACAAAAACATGCACTTTCAAATCACATATGGCTTCTTCGACCCCATCAAATAACTTTATTCACACAAACGTCCCTTAATTTACAAAGCCTCAGTCATTCATACACATTAGGGGGATCCACAGTGTTCAAGGAACTTAAATATAATGTATCATATCAACCCAAGTAAACCAAGTACAAAAAATATTTATATAAAGTTGTTCACACATAGGTCCTAGATTACCAGCTTCTGTGCAAAAAAAAAAAAAAAACAAAAAACAAAAAACAAAAAAAAAAAACCAAAACAAAACAACTAGTATTTGAAACTAACTTTGTGCCTGGCTTAAAACCTCCCTCAAACCCAAGACTGTCCCAATGAACGTTAAGAAGTCAATAAAATATCCTCTGCTCTGATGGAAAGAAGCCTCTGGGCTATATTTCAACATGTCCCTAAGTAAGTCCCTTTCTTTCTCCTGTGGCCTCTGGAATAATGTGTGGGGTCTCCTTCTGATACCCTCTGCAATCTTAGCAGCCCTCAGGCAACCCATGGTAGTGGACTCACTGTAATGGCGATAAGAATGCCAATGTTGATCCTACTGGTTAGTCTTTGGGAACAGATTTCCAGGCAAGAGCCCCCTGCCTTCAAGCCAAGGCAAGGCAGGATATGTATGAGATGGACCTGTGCTGACTTGAAGGCCAGTAATAGCTCAGCATGGGAGGAGGCAGAAGCACTAGCCCTGGGCTTCTGGGGACCTGCAGAGCCAAGCAGAGAAGTGTAGCTGTTCTGAGGTTGCAGGCTTCAGAGGCACAGCAGCTGTTCAGGGACTGCCAGGCACCTCAGGGGAGGAACCAGTCAAAGAGAAGGATAACCAATAGACCTACTGGAGCAAGAGCCACCAGTGTCCCTAGGTGTTGGAGAAGGGGCGCTGGCAGAATGGGTGGCCGAGCAAGCTTGGTGGGCAGGGTTAGAAGGGGCAGCAAGGAAAAAGGCAAGGGCAATTAGGGGATGGCAGCCTGTTTCCATAAGGTGCCTTGAGGCTAAAACTCAGACTGCCATCCTTTAAAATTGTCTTCTATAAAGTAAACAGCCAACAGCTTAAAAATTTTCCACAGAGCCAGCTTTTTCTTTTCTTAGAAAAAGATTCAAGCAAAAATAATCTTATTGCTCCAAACATTGGTTTTTAGGATAGGAGACAAGTGATATGTTAAGGAGCTGAGAACCTCAGAAGGGAATGAGAGGTGGGGAATGCCTAGGGCAAGAAGGCCAGAAGGAAGGTGGGCAGTGGTCTTAGCACCACAGGGTCAGGGAGCAGAGGAGGTGAAATAAGCCTTTGCCACCACCCCAGTCTTGCTTTTATTCCCTTTAGGGTCACCACTGGCAGTGCCCTAAAGGAGGCCAGGCCCTGTTCAAGGTCACCTCTCCACCCAGCAGTGTGAGCCACTTCTCCAGCTGTAAACAGGGTATTTCTTAAGTAAACATTTAGTACACTCCCTCAGAAAGGCAGTCATGGGGGAAAGCCCCATCAGGGTAGGGGTAAAGCATTCCCATGACCTGTCCCAAGGTCCTGGGAAAGAGACCAGACCAAGGCCTGTATCCTTAGTCCCAGGTGCCCTGAAGGGGGTCAGATGGAGCCAGTCTCAAAGGAGCAGACAGTGGCACCCTCCTGACTAGAGGCAAGGGGCAGGGAGGTGCCGGGGAGCAAGAGGCAGAGTGCACCTATCTGTAGCAGCTTTTCTGTCCCAGGCTAAAGCTGCTAACTAGAGTGCCCGAGAGTGGGTGGGGATGTGTGCCTGGCTACAGCCCTCCAGAAGGAGGTATAGAAGGGGGCGGGGCCAAGGGTTATCCTTCGCCTGTGGCTATCTGTGGATGGAGAGGGAGAGTGCAAGTGACAGGTGGACAGACAGGGAGAAGGAAGCCCCACCTCCAGCTGAGTTAGGAGGTATGGTCGGGAGACAATGGAATAAGGCACTATGATCTGTTCCACAGCTTCCTCTCTCTGATGCACCCACGTGGCCCAAGGACCAAGCAGTCCCTCCAGCAAGACATCCTTTTCACAGACCCAAGGAGAAGAAAACGATCAACTGCTGTCACAAGGTTCGCTAACTCCTAACACTTGGGCAGGTCTAACAAACTTGGTGGTGCTGAGAGTCCCACGGAGTGGCAGGCAGGCAGAGGCAGGAAGAGGAAGAAACAGAAAGGGAAGGTGATTCCAGCAGGGGAGGAAGAAGAGTGGCTGACCCAAGGATGACCCTCTGACCATGTAGAGCCAGCTGTGTGGAGAACCAGGTTCCACCTGGCTGGCTAGGTGCCTGTAGTGGAGAGTAGAGAGAAGGGGAAGAGAAGAGGGACAGGCACCTGGGGCTAAAGAGCTGCCCTCCCTTGAGCTAGGCAAGAGGTCCTGCTACCTAGCAGGAGCAGGCTGGGAGTGGCAGGGGGTAAGAGTGCAGGAAGAGACTCCCCTTAACCAGGCTGCCCACCAAGACCTGCAGGATGTACCAAGGGGAAGCATTACAGCCTGAAGACCTTATTCAGACAAAGCTTAGAAACTGGGCAGAACAGGAGAAAGTGAGAGGCAAAAAGCAGATGACTTGTTAGGCCCAAGCCCTCCCCAGGGATTCTACAGCTTGGTGGCAACCAGGAAGTGTTGGGGACACCAAGTTTGGGAACTGTTTTTTCCATATGCTCAGTATATAGACAGCTGCCCCAACAGAGGACAGGTCAGTGGTGTCAAACAGGAACACACAGTACAATTAGGGAACACTGCTGCCCAAACCCTCCTAGCTACAACTCAGTATACTCAGGGGGCTGCCTGAGAAGTCAGAGACAAGAGACAGGCATCACGGTGTGTCACAGCCTAGGAAGGGAAGGGCTGTTATTACTCGCAGCCTGGCGGCAGCCATCTACCCAAGAGGAGGGGACAGCCTTGGTGCTTCGGGCCTGAGAAGGCTGGAATGGGAACGGCCAAATGGGGTGTGATGTTGGGCTGGTGTCTCCCACACTCTCAGGACTACAGGACTGCTGCCTGGGAGGACCTCTCCCCTTGGTCACATGCTAACCGAAATACCCTCTAACCACCTTCCCATCAGTCATATGTTTGCTTAGGTAAAACAAAGAACAAAAATGAACACAAACCATTCCTTTTCCCTTCTCTAGTGCCCCCAATGCACTTGGCCAGAACGGGGTGAAAAACCTGGAAAAAATCTGGAGCAGCTGGGAGAACATCCAGATATAGGCTAACACGGCAGCCCAGGAGAAGGCTACAAGAGTGCTGTCAGTGGAAGGAAGGGTGGCTGTACACAGATATCGGTGGTGGGGTTGCAGGGGTCATGGCCAAGATGATTTGAAGTGGCAAGGACCCCCAAACAGGTCCCTAACAGCCTCCAGGACTCTGTGTGGCCTGAACCATCCTACTTAGGGCGGGCCCTTTTCTTCCCATTAGATACATTTATGTTGTGGGTGGGCACCTAATATAAAGTCCCTGGGGTAAGGGAGATGGATGATAGTGTCTGTTACTGATGTGACACTGTGGACCCTGCACACAGGGCATAACCTCCGCTGTGAGGAGACGATGGCAGTGGCCAGTTTAGGAAAAACTGCTGTCTGCCACAGCAGGGTCATCTGAGGGCACACTGGGAAGACAATGGTCCAGGAAGCAGGAGGTGAGGGTGCTTCCTTCTCGGTGGTGCTGGTGCCCAAGACTCTGTGTGACCTAGGCAGAGGTTTGGCACAACAGTCCTCATGGAAGGTAGGCCTGTGGAGCTGGGGTGGGGGATGGTCACACTCTACCTCCTCCCTCAGGTGCAAAGGTACAGAGGGCAGAAGAGAGGACCACTTCCCATTGCTGAGTCCTGCTGTGGCCTGGGGCCGCCAGCAGCTTCAAGAGAACCAAACTGGCATTTCTGCCTCCTTCTGGAATCCTCCTGGCCAAACCCTAGTTGTCTTCTTCCTGGTGGTTCTATGCCTCTGATGCTGTCCAAGGCCCAAGGGATGGCTAGGACCGGCCCTCCAAGGAGTCCAGCAGTTCCCACATGTCTTCATGTCCCATGCCAGGAGAAACCCCCAAATTCTTTCTGGGGTAACAGGTCTTTTCTGGGAAGTGAGATTCTGTAAGCAGAACTAAAAGACGTATAGAAGGAGGAAGACAGAAGGAAAATGAAGGACAAAACCAAAACTGCTCCCTAACCCCTTGTAAAAATCAACAGAGAAATTTACATATATGCTTTGTCCACACTGAATTTCCTTAAAGAAACGGTGCCTGTTAAGAGCATAGCTTTCTGCTCTTTGGAAGTCTGTAAGGTTTAAATTAAAAAAGAATAAGAAAAGACAAAACTAAAAGTGTGTGTGTGTGTATGGGAGGGTAGAGGACCCAAACAAAAGCTTCACATTGTCGGAGATCCAGCTGTCGGAAGATCACCAACCAGTCAGGCCACCACCTGTACCTCTGCTGTCCTTTGTGAGACACGATGAGACTGTGGGTCCCGGGGGATCGACCTGGAAGACAGAAGGCACACAAGGAATAGACACTGATCAGTGGGTCGGGGTACAGCCCTCAACCCAAACTGACTCGGAAGCAATGAGTATGCCAGTGTGGGCTTTCCTAAATACATACTTATAGGAAGTAAATCAAATGTCATTATACAAGTGGCAGTGCTACAGACATGTGCTGAAGTGTACAAGGTCAAAGTGACTAAGGAAAGAGGGAACCCAGGCTCCACCTACCAATCTGATCACAAATCTCACCCATACCTCATTCCCATCCCAACTTCCCTGTACCCTTAGTAGAGAGGCCCCACAGGACCCACTCTGGCCCATCTGTCCCTGAGGGTCCTGACAGCTTTAGTAAGCTCGACCTTTCCTTATCTTACTTTAGAGGTGAGGAGCTTCTAAGAACTTTAAGTTGCCTGTCAAGGTCCTAAGGGGACAAGGGTCCCAGCCCCGAAGTGGGCTCAGCCAAAACTTCCCCATCCTGTCCACTACTGGGGTCGATGGCAAGGACACTAGAGCCAGAACTGTGGCTCAGAAACAGGCTTTGCCACTTGACATGGGGCAGAATTGAGTCCTCCATTCTTGGTTATATCATCTGTACCTATGTAACAGGTTATCGGGAAGATTACATGAACCAATACAGTCATATATGGGTAATAACAGGGACATGTTATGAAAAAAGGGTCTGCACTTCATAGTGTGCACTTACACAAGCTAAGATGGCTATGATGCCAATGGGAGATATGATCTTAAGGGACTGCTACTGTTGACCAAAACACTGTCACGTAGCACTCAACTGTGCCTAGAACTCTTAGAAGACTGCCTGACTTTGTTGGCTATTATTTGGCATCACTTGGGTGCCAGGAACCAGTAATGCACAAGAAGTCAAGGGCAGTAACTTATTGTAGCAGAAACCTACAACACAAAAGCCTACAAAAATTAGCCTTGGGCCAGCCTCAAACTCTGACTAATCAGAGCTAAGTACAGCCTTGGCCCAGGTAGGACTGGCCACTAGGGGAGCAGTGTCCCATCCTCCCTGTACTCCCTGAATCTCCCTGAAGAGATTCTGAATGCTCAGTTTCACAGGAATGACTTTCCCAGTGAGCTTACAACCCTTTAGAGTAGCCCCCGGCCCACTCTCTGAGAAGTGTGCCCTCCCAGCCCCATGCCTTCTCCATTGTAACTTCTGCCTGTGCAGTCTGGCAGCACTGGCCCAGTGTCTTCAAGTCTTGGATGACAGCATCTGATTTGTCCTCAGAAGAGGCAGTCAGGTTATGTAATACTGAACAATTTACATTCTGTCAGCTTCAGTCTCTTCCTTTGAAACTTGGGGGCCCTTTTTTAAGGACTGAGTGGAATAGCACTGGCCCAGTGTCTTCAAGTCTTGGATAGACAGCATCTGATTTGTCCTCAGAAGAGGCAGTCAGGTTATGTAATACTGAACAATTCACATTCTGTCAGCTTCAGTCTCTTCCTTTGAAACTTGGGGGCCCTTTTTTAAGGACTGAGTGGAACAACAGTAGGTACTTAGCCTACAGTAGATACTGACAAACTGATGAACCCACCTCTTCTTGGCCATTGTCACTAGTTGGAGATCGAGCATGGTAGATTTAGATTTAAATGGGCACAGCCCTCAGCCATTTAGCCATCAGAACTGCTTGCAGCTGGGTATGGGCGCCCTGGGAAAGATGCCCCCAACCCTCAATGCCACTGGCCAGGCCTAGAAAAGCCTTCAGGAAAGCAGTCTGGCAATATGCTTTCAGAGAGAGGCAATCACACCTGGAGCTCTCCAATTCCACTCCTGGAAATCTATCCTCACTGATAACCCCAATTATGGGAAGAACTCTGTAGATGAAGATGTTCATTGTCTCTTTAAGTTATGAGGCAGCAACTTGCATGTCCCAAAATACAGGATGACAAACAAATGATCCAGACACTCAGTGATACCCTGCAGAGGAAATGAGACAGCTGTGTGGTGTTCTGAATAGTGTATCACAAGTATTTCTCTGGGTTTAATGGGAAAGAGTAAAAGTTGTGTGGCCTAAAGTTTGCATATGGTTTGTTCCCCAGCTCATGCTGGAGTTTAAACCCTGCTCTGAGGTAACAGAGGATGAAAACAATCTCTAATCTGACTAAAGTTTTTAGACTGGTTAGGCTTTTGGGAAGAAATTAGGATCAGGTAGGTAAGGCCATGAGAGTAGAACACCCATGACTGAATATTGGCAGCTTTCTAAGAGGGAGAGACAAAACACTCATACTTCCTGTCTTTTGCCATGTGATGCCCTATACCGCCTTGAAATTCTGTCAGTCAGGCAGCCATCACCAGATGTAGGCCTTATACCTGGGACCAGAACCATGAGACAAAATAAAGCTCTTTTCTTTATAACTTACCTAGTTTGTGGCAATATGTTATTAGCAACAGGATATGAACTAGGACACTGTGACTATGTAAAGCAGCCCTGCCACACACACACCACTGTAGGAAAATCTGGCAAGAAATACAATGAAATTTCCCCACTTCTGACTTTTAATACTGAACACACACTACACTGTCATCAAGTGCTTAATGGGAAAAATAGTACACTTTAATGAACAAGAAAATTGGGCACTCCAACAAAAAGGTCCACATGTGGGGCTCCTGTCTGGGATCTTCCATACTGGGTGCAGTGGAGAATTCTCTACATTTGACAAATCTGACAAAGGCTAGATATGTGATTCCTGCCCCACTGCCCTGGGGAGGGGGACCTAGTGCCTTCCTTTGGAGTGGAGGTAGCTGACACATGCCCCTAAAAGTATATGTTCTGGAAAGAAAACTTCTCATGTCCAACCTTTTACTCTGCCGCTTTGCTCCCCTTGCCAATTCTCCTCAACAAAACCCACTATGAGTTTTGGTTCCAGTTTTTGACACAGAGGAAGGAAGAATCACTATAAACAGTCCTTGATGACCAAGGCAGCCCTTCCAAACTCCAAATTTAGCTTGCCTTCTGTTTTCTCCCCATACTTGCAGTAGATGAAGATTAAGAATACAGGGAGGAGGTATTTAGGGGTACTCTCACCATCTAAGCATTAGAACTTCCCAAGTAAGACAGAAGTGCAGGAAACTGTATGGTCTCTCATGTATCCGCTAGGATGTATTAACATCCCATTCCTCCCTCTCAGGAAGGACTCAAACTTCCAACAGTTTCCTCAAAAAGGATGACCATCAGGGATTCAGCTCAGTGGCACTGTGCCTGCCTGGCAAGTGCAAGGTCCTGAGTTCGATCCTAATTACCAAAAAACCAACAAATAAACAAGGATGACCATCAGCAGGAAGATGACGACACATGGCAGCTAAAATGCAGAGATTCAGAAGGCACTGGTTCCTTTTTACATAATAAACTAGTGGGACAGGATGTGCCTGCAGAAGGCCAGGCCCACCCCAAAGCCCCAGAGACATCAGCTTGTAACATAACTGTGATCATCACGTCTTCTGCTAGGAGGTAAAGCTGTCATCTTCAAGACTTCTCCCCTCCCTCCAGCCTGGCGCTGGCCTTATTCTGTAGGTAGAAGGCGTCAAGACAGCTACAGGTCTGAGTTTGGCTCTCCTTTTGAGTAGGGAAAAGGAAAAAATGAGGGCTCTTTGATATGGAGAGCACCTTGGCTTCCTCTCCTGTCTCTCAATAGAGAGGGGTTACCATCCCTAGGGGCCCACAGCACATCAAGCTCACTGCAGATGGCAAAGGCTCTTTCCACGGCTTGAACAGAAGTGACACAGACAACAGGACTCTAGCTTAAAGCAGCCCACCCTGCTGAGCACTTGATTCCATAAATGGTCTTGGCCCCAGCCTTGGTGGCCTCTCCTTCACCCTAGTAGATGCCCAATCTCAGCTTCCGGGTTGCCAAGGCTGCAAAGGCACGTTTTGTCCCATCAGTGGAGCCCATACTGTTAACCAGAGCACTTCAGGAAGGCAAACCACACTTACTGAGCATAATAGAAAATACTGCTGTGATAAGCCTGAAAGTAATAATTGCAGTTTACTTTGTGATTATTGTGAGGATGGTTTTGGCCAGTTTTACCAAGGGAAAAGGCCCAGAGAGTTCTAGCAACTTGGCTTACCTAACAGAGCTGGTGAGCAGTAGGCCCAGCACTGAATCACACTTCTCTAGCTTTGATGCCCAAAGCCTTCCTACCAGGGCAGGTTTCCCTGTGTGCTTCAGAGCCAGGATAGCTATGGGCTCAGACAGCTGGCATGGTCTTGGGGGAGGTGACACGGATGGTCTGTTGGCAAACCTTTACCTTTCTTATTTCAGGTCTTGGATTAGATTCCCACAGGCCACCCCACTTATTTCTTAACTCTTCACACTGCAAACACACTGAGCGCTTCACATGAGCCAGCGGGTTCTTCAAGACTTTACGGTAGCAGCCTCACCACTGTGTTACAAAAGGCACCAGGTAGTTTATATCTTCTGCCTCACTTTATCCAGCAACCCTAAGAAGTAGGAGCCACTGTCAGACCAGTCCTAAAGAGCTAAGGAAAGTGGAGTTCAGAAAAGGCCACACAGTGAGAAAGTGATAGAGAAAAGATTTAAACCCAGATTGGGCTCACTCTCAAGCGCCTGCTTTTAACATGTGATTTTATAACACAAAATCCCTTCCTAGAGAGACAAGCAGGGCTTAAAGTCCATTTAATCCCCGCATTTATAGATTCACTCAGTAAAGGGCTCATGGAAGGCTCAGCTTTGGTGCCCTTGCACAGGTCAGGGGCACAGGGCACTGGGGGGATGAGCTACCAAACTAGACAGTGAGCAGTCTTCCAGCAAGCTCTTCTGCCAGCCAAGCGGCTGTCTAGTCTGTCCAGGGTTTGGGGAACCAAACTGTTCCCATTTGGGTCACTGGCAGCTTGGGAGCTGGGGAGGGCTGAGGTGAGCAGCTGACTGGAGGATGGGCTCATGCTTGCCCCCTTCCCCCTTCTTACCCTGCAGACTTGGAACATCTTGGCAAGTAAGAAATTATCAGTGACTCTGAA